CGCCAGATTTCTCCCAGTTCAGTTTTCCCCTAACTGATATCACAAGCACATCTGTTCCATGTCCCATTTTAGGAACGGTCCTGCAGACCACATGGGTTTCAGCTTTTCAAACAGAAGCTGATGAAAGAAAGGATGTCTAATGGTATATGTGTAGGAACTGCAACTGCTTTCTTTGCCTAGTCTCTCCTCTGGAAAGCTCAGGCAAGGACCTTCTTTTGGTTCAGCTCCTCCTCAGTGAAATTAAAGGGATAACAACTTCCTCACAGGTTAGATTCATTATCTTTAGTTCATAGAAACTATAAAGGGAAACACTTAAACATGCACCAATAAGTCTATTGTTTCTATAATATGAATATCTACTACCAAGTTTCAATGATATGGGTGGACTATAGGATTTGAGAGCCAGAAGTTTGGAACCACACACTGAAGGCTGATGCAGGTTTATGCTCCATATTAAATTCCATTGTTTAGCAGGGTTCAGATTTAGGATTCTGGATCAAGCTTAGCTGCTAGATAAAATTTCAGAAATTTATTTTCTGGCAGGCAACGTATCAGGCAGCACAACCTAACTTTCCGGTCTGCTTAGCTATGGAATGGCCTCCCATGGTTAGAGTGCCATATACCACAAACCTACCATGGATTAAATAACTATGGAGAGGATATATTTGGGATTGCAAAGATTTATCCAAATCTTTCTCATTCCCATTATAAGATGTGCTATGTGGACTACTAGATAAGAAAGGGAAGCTATTCTGCAATTCACACTTAAAATAATAATAATAATAATAATAATAAATAATAATAATAATAATAATAATAATTGGGGTTCACTGGCTTCTGCTAACAAATTTTCTCTCTACTCTCCATCTTACCTTGTGTCTGTCTGGGTGAAATATACAAAATTGAAGAGACTAAAGCTGTAGCTGAATATGGCTTTCATAAGATCTGCAGAAGCTCTTTAAGCAACATCCCATATTTCAGACAAGGCACAATACTTCTCATAGGAAGTGCTGACAGCAACAAGTAGAGCTGTTCCAACTCAAATGAACAATTCCAGAACAAAAGATGAGCCCAGATGCATCTGACCTCAAGCAGCTGGCTCCCATCTCATAATTCCTAGTTCTGAGATGATTTTCTGTTCATAGACCCCAAAGCATTTTACAAGCAAGGTAATCATCCTCCCTGTTTTACAAATGAGGAAACTGAGGCCCCTGTTGCTGTAGGGTTTCAGGGAGGAGAGAGAGAGAGAGACCCAGCCCAACTCTCCAAATAGGTCAGAGTGTGAATTGCAGTGGACTTTACCCCTGTTAAGATAAAATCAGCCACCTGCAAGGAGTGTCATGTGCACATTTTAGTATTGAGCAGACAACAAGAGTACCGTGCACACATTCCCTATAAAAGGGTATGTGTGGGTGGAGCCCGGGGTGGGGGGAGCAGGGTTGAGAATGCTTGAGGTGTGTGCGTGGGACTGCCTGGTGTGGGTTTGACGTGTGCATGACTGAGTGTGGTGGAGATTAACTGATGGTGTCCAACAGAGATACTGACAGCATTAAGGTGACTGGAGTCAGCGTGGGCCTCAGTGCCTAAACTGGTCAAAGGTGAAGAGCGGGAAGGAGTGTGCGGTGCTCAGTGGAAGTGTGCCGTTTAACACTCCGGTGACTCAAGGGTCTGCAGCGTCTTGCTCCCCTCCAGCGGACTCCACAGCAGAGGCAATTAGGGTTCCAGGGAGCCAACCCTTCTCCCTCTGGTGTGTTTTACACTTGTAGCAGCCCTTTGCCCCACTGTTGTAAGTACCACTCTGCTCCGCCTCCCTCCTCTCCATCTGTTCTGTATTGGTATAAGTGCCCCTGTTTAATAAGCAGAAGGTAAGCCAGTGCCAGCTCCAAGTGGACTTGTGAGGTGGACAGCCCTCAGGATCCCAGAGGCTGCAGCGGTTGGAGTTTAATAAAGATCTCCGTTCCCTTTCTTAATAAAGTTTATGCCACTCTGTACCTTGATAAGAATAGTGTAAGGAATAGACAGCTAGTATATACAGATATATTATACTTAGATGTAGACAGAATAGTATTGTTACGTGTAAAGGGTATTTTTGATAAGAGTGTGCCAGTACTGTGTTTAGTGTCGATATTACTTACCTGTTGTTTGCTATTTGTGTACTTAATAAACCATTATCATTCATTTCATTGACTATCCATGTGTGTGTCCTAATTAATCAACTCGCAGACTAATTGCTGGGTGGGCTGGTGGTGACAGATATGTCGTGTCCCATTCATTAATGGGTCCGGAGCCAAAAGACCACCCCCTATTGCAAGTTGGACTGAGGGGTCAGCCACTTAATGAGTGACCCTAATTAGGCATTAATTGTTTTCTCTCTCAACACCCCAACAGATTTTCCCCATGTTTGCCCAACAGTCACGGACATTAGGACAGTCCAGTGGCCCATTCACTGGGATGCACTACTTCATAGCAAGTTAAATACTCTTTTACTCAAAATTATGCCCCAAGTTTGGGGAAGTTCTTCTATGAACTTTACAGTCTTAGCTCAGTTATGGAGGAGTCAGGCTGCCAGTGCTGGCACACGTGGGAAGAAGGACCTGTTCTGTTCCATACCTACCCGCTACTCTTCTACAAATTAACAGCATGAAGCCACCCCTGCAACAGCACAGACTGGGAGGCCTGGTTGACTCCAAACTTTCACGGGTATCACAGCCTAGCAGATTCTCTGGACCCAGCCATCTCCTCAAAGAGTCAAAAACACTAGTGCCAAAGACTACTCCTGGACCCAGGACACCCCACGCATTTCCTATTCTGTAGTCCTTACTCCAGTGTGCAATTGTGTTTTCAGGCATCGGTATCATACTTTCACTAGATCCAAGTGCATCATTCAGGCCTGGGACCGATTCCCCCCAGCATCAAGAACACTGCAATCTTTCTGTCAAAGCCAAACCATTGAAAGCAGTTATGACGCATTGTTTAAGGCAAATTCAAACAGGCTGAACACCACCTAGTAAATCTGCCAAAAAAGTGCTTTGCCGGAGCCCTCTAACAACTTTGAGTTGCTTTGTTTCATGTATTTTAAATAAAGGTTCTGTGACTTTTTCTGCAGTGACAGCACATTATGTAATTCTGTCATGAGACAGGCTGATGGATCACTACTTGCTTGCTTTCAAGTGAGGTATTCCATGCAGTTAACAAAAACACACTATTAAACTGTTTAATATGTTGCTCTTCACAGTTTATGTTTACACTTAAGTTATTAGTACAAATACAAATCAGTCTGGTGTTTTGGGAGAGTTGGAGGTGGCTATGGACTAAAATTCACAGAAAGCATTAGGATGAGACACAGACGACACCATAAAACGATGGTTTTCACCCTGCAGTCAGTCATGTCTAGGGGTCTGTGAAAGATGACTCTGATCAAACGTATGTGAATATATCACACAATTCAAAGGGTTCTGGCAGCTCTATTCGAAATGTCCAAAGGGGTCCGTGGCTCCATTCAAAATTTTTTTAGGGGGTCTGCAAATGAAATAAGGTTGAAAACCACTGCCATAAGATGGGTGCCACTGTTCAGCCTTGTAAGAGCTAACAGAAAATCTGCCACAAAGTGATTTAAACACAAAAACAAACAAAACAAGAAATAATTGTCATTCCCCCACCCCATCCCAACTCTAAAATACAAACAATAGCTCAAGAGTTTGAAGTTTCCCAAAAGCATGGAGTTTTCCAAATATATCGAAGCCTGGACTCTTGGCCACACATCTCTCCTCTTACAGCCCAACCAAAGGGCACCTCATGGTTCGATCTGGGATTCCAGAGCCCTCTTTGAGCAAGGCACAAGCCTGCTTCTGTGCACAGTTGCCCCCATTGGTAAAAAGGGAATGATACTGGCCTACTATAAAGGCAGATTAAACTTTAATAAAAACAAATGTTTGTACGTGTCTGGAAAGCAAAAATCAAGGCCCTGTATATCAAGAATAGGGGTAGGGAGGACCTGTAGAAGGGCAGCAGGCAGAAGGTGGGGAAAAGGAGAGTCTTGAGGTTCAGACCGAAGCATGGAAGGGTACAGCTGAACAACTGAGCTGGTCACACCTTTCTTAACACAGCAGAAATAACAGTTAAACAACTTCAAGCAGCCAAAACCTGAGTTAGTGCTAGCCAGTTCCCTAC